CGTGAGTGTATCTCAGTTGGGTATCGTTGAAATTAAATTTTTGTGATGTGGACCGATGAACAATTACGCTTATTGATCAATGAAAGAAAAAATCAAAATGTGGATTATTATAAGTAAGACAATAACAAGTCCCACAAAATTAGATATAAAATTTTGCGACACTCTCCTGCGATAAGAAAAGACGAAGAACATAAATTTATGAGTAAACTCGATTAGATAATTCGATCACTTTTAAGATTAAGCATGGTTCAGAATCAGTTTCGAGAATGAACAAATTTTTAGTGCGATATTTGATTTACCGTTACAATCGACACATTATACTGTATGTGGCTAAGGTTGATTTGGTACTATCGTGATGATATTCCTGATCATAACTTGCTCATCGATATATTAGTCTTAACGGGCTGTTCCTGATATTGGCGCTACATATGTAAGATGGAAAAAAATCAGATTTCCGGATTCGGATATTCGAGAAACAAATATGTGCGTTATTTTAGATGCGAAGCATCCTCCTTTCAGGAGACATAACTACGTATAAATTTGAAAGGTAAATTAACGTTAAGCAATAAATAAAGTTCATATTGCGTATGTCGCACAAAATTGGGTACATTAAGGTTTTGTGATACTTTCCTGCAGAATTATTTCTCATGGTCAATTTTTTATTAACGCTAGCCATGACTAGAACCGTTTCCTTGTTATATACGATCTAGCGATAAGAATAGGCTCAAATAGGACCTAGAAGGGCCATAAGAGGAAAGCTTATGACGTTCTTAATCAGTAGTTTTATGGGTTATAGACCCCAGGCTTTGCCTGTCAAAATTCATATGTCGCAGGAACTTGGAATTCCCAGATCGCCGAGATCGTTAACTTTTTCACTTGGTAGTAGCAAGCGTCGAATCTTAGGGGTCTATGTCCCTAAAAGGACGCTAAAATATATTTAGTATTTAGGCTTTACAACTGAAACGGAGTTGCTTTGTTAAGTGTGATCTGACAGTATTAGAGTAATGCAAATTACTAATCATGTAACTTTTTTTTTCTGGCAGGTTCTCAGATCTAACGAATGCTAAGTATAAAAATAAGCGATTTTTTGTTCCTTGTTGGGTGGGTTATAATATTTTTTGCTCATATATAATTTGTTTTACTTAATTCACTTGTAATTTATTTCTAATGTATATATTTGTTTTATATGGAGGGTTTCGACCTACAATTGTTTTCTAGGATGACTACTAGGGCGAAACCTTATTCATTATGATTTTTTATTTTTAGGAACGCAAAATGAGCAGTACTAATAATTCTAACAATCCAACACCGTCTAACCCAGCACCGTCCAACCCAGCACCACCTAATTCAACACCGTCTAACCCAGCCCAGCACCACCTAACTCAACACCGTCTAACCCAGTAACGTCTAATCCAAGGTCGTCTAATCGAAGACCCCAATACAGTAATAGAACTTGTAAGTAAATTTCATATTGCGTAATTAAGTTTGTATTTTTCTGGAACGGGTTTTGAGTATTTCTCTGAAATATAATTTTCTGATTAAATCTTTCATTACATTAAAACCAGACAACGACCCCTTCTATCCTATTTCGAAAGAAGCTGTAGAAAGATATAAAAAAAATGATGACTGGGATGTTATAAATCCTGGTCATGCCGATGACTATCTATAATCGTGCCCCATATATCATATTTTTTATTTTTTTTATTTGTATATTGTTGGTCCGGCAACATTTTTATTAAATAAAGAGAGGGGTCCGGTGGGCTCCCATTTTTTATTTTTACGCGATTCCCGATCATATATACAAGACATTAACAATAAAGTTCTAATATACACAAATTCCAGGTTTTATTTTATCGTTTGGCGGTATATATCATGCAAAACATCCTATAGATGAGTTTTTATAAGTTTTTTTCCCGCTATTTAGATCGTAATAATATCCTGCATCATCATCAAAATACATTGCGCCCATATAATCACCATCATTCTCACTATCATCAGAGGGATCCCAGTTAAAACCAGAGATGTTTGTCTGCGTAACAGTATCTGTATAATTAGATGCAATCTCTTCAGTAGATATACTTACCTCGGTTTCAGTAGATATACTTATCTCAGCTTCTGATAATTCCGAGGAAGCAGAGCTTCGAGTCTTTGACTCATCTTGATTATTTTCTTGGGATAAATCTAAAGGAATCGATTCAGTAGGTATACTTATCTCAGTTTCGAATAAATCACCTGAAGAACTATCCTGATCATTGGTGAATTCTATACCAGGCTTTTTGGTGAAATGATCTATTATCGTTTGAATCTGAGAATTAGTGAATTTTGAAATAGTATCCGCACTATATGTTTTGATGTATTGAATCTTATCCATTCCTATTTTTTCAAATAAATTGTCAATCCTTAAAGCTTTCTGTGTCTGCTTACATAAAGTTTTGCGTTTAGTGTCAGGTAGCTGTTTGATAATAAAATCATATACTTGACCTTTTGCCTTCTTTTCCCCAACTTTATTGCCGACCATAAAATCTTTATACATGCTTTTGAATTCTCTAGCATAGAAACACCAACGCAATGTTTCTTCCCTATTGGCTTCAATTGCACCCATCACATGCATTTTTATATAGACTAATAATATCTCCATTATCTGGCGGTAACTGGGATATGGCTGGAATAGATGGAGTTATTGAAGTCTCATTATTTGGGCGAACCAAGTTCGCTGAAATTTCAGTCACATGCTTTTCTTCTTTAGATAAAATCATTTCTCGAATCAAGCCCTGTTCGTTTTTCCGCTCACGGGAAGTAGTGGACGCAGAATTCTGAGAAATCGAGTGTGCCTCCTGGCTAGGTGAATCACACTGAAGTTTTTCTTCCCTATTCCTCTGCCTAATCTCATTACTAACCCTTTTTTTATTCTCTGAATCTAGGAATTTATCGATCTCTATATCCTCTAATGATTTAGGCTCCGTGCAAATAGGTTGGTATATATCAGAATTTGTTATGCCGGGTGTGACTGATGCAGGAACATCCTCGCTTTGTGAGACTATCTGTTCGAGAGTTACAGGAGTAATGCTAGTTATAGAATCATTTGTTTCACAGTGTATTGAAGTTTCTTTATCGGAGCGGGATTCAATAGATAGAAAAGTTATTTGTGATTCGGATTGGGTTGAGATATGTTCTATTTCGGGTATAGGATCGGGATTAATAGCTTCCTCCTTATCGGGTTGGCTCTTAGCCTTTAGCCAGTTCACATCGGTATATGAAGAAATATTCTTTATGGGAGTATTATCAGAGTTTATTTCAGGGAGAATGGGTACTTGTAAATTTATTGGATTCTGCGAATTAATAGTATCTGTGCCTTGCGAGTTCTGTTCCTTGATTAGTGAAATATCGCATTCCAGTTTCGTAAATCTGGTTTCATGTTCTTCCAAAGTTTGTTTTAACTTCGTATTTTCGACTTTAATCTCAATATTCTCAGCCTTGACTTTTGCATTCTCAGCTTTAATCTCGATATTCTCAGCCTCGACCTCAGCAAACTTCTTTCTAAGTTCAGCGATTTGGTGAACAAGATCAGAATTTAATTCTCTCAATGTCTTAATTGTGGATTGTGGATTTCCCATTATTTTATACAAGATGCGAATATGTTCAAAAGTTTGAAAAATAAACACGTGATTTTGGGCGAACCAAGTTCGCTGAAATTTCACCAAGAAAAATTCACAATTATATACGAGTTATACATCGATAACAATACAATAAAATAAAATTCCGAAATACACATGCAAAGTAAACTGATTATGTATGCGAAATCGGCCACCAGAGCCACTTTATTGATGCATCAGAAAAATAAAATATATTAGGGAAGGATTTGCTCATCTATTA